TGTGCGTTTTTGCAAAATGCAAATGCGACCCAGGCTCTAACGCACCAGGCGGGCTGGTGCGATTATGTGTTTTTGCATTTTTCGTACTGTAGCAGGATCGCAAGGAATCGCAGCCTGTCGGAGTATTCAGTGAGTTCATGTGTGTCTGTGTAGTTGACAACCAAGCAAGCTCCGGCGCAAAAATTTTTCCAGTAGGTCCCTCGGCCACGTGTCACCCCTAACCTACACCCGGGTCCCATGTGTGGCTCCGTGTGACTTTTTGGCGGAAAAACTAACTCGGGACCAGAAAGGCTGAGAGGCTGAAGTTTTTAGTGGATGTGCCTGGCTCCCGCACAACTTAAAGACATCAAATTCAGCCCTACGATTGCGTGGTTCTTACGTACAACCCCATGGAAATTTTTGGCTGGTTAATCTCTATCTCAGGAAACGGAGAAACTGAGGCATTGAGGGGATGTTCACAACCCACGTGCAACTTAATGATTTTAAATGCGCCTACAGCTATGCGCCGATTCTCATGTACGGCCCAGTGAAAGTTATTGGCAGGAAAATTGGTAACTCGGTAACCAGAAAAGCTAGAAAGCTAAAAGTTTGAGGGCAGTTCCCCGTCTATGTAGAATTTAAAAATTTTAAATTTAGCCCCCATTCCCTCCGGTATGTGTGGTTTTCACGTACAGGCCCGTCAAAATTTTCAGCGAGAAGATTGCTAACTCGGGAACTAGAAAAGCTGAAAGGCTGAAATTTTAACGGGATGCTTACTGTCCAAATATCACGTGATCGCACAATTAGCTTCTTGAATGTCCAGAACCAGTTTGTTACAAATCCTGGCTACTGCATTTCAAGTGGTCTTGTTACAGTACGAATTATTGCATAAATGCACGATCGCACGGGCCCGCCTGGTGCGCGTTGCCAATGATTATCATATAGCGGAAAGACAGCTCGAGTCATAAGGCAGGTCATTTGAATAGGGTCTTGAAAGACAACTGGGCAAGGCGAGGTGGTTCAGCTTCGTCAACTTTATTCCTTGTTGATAACTGCACCCTTCCTCTTTTTATGCGTTCTTGCATATATGCAAATGCGAAAACGCATATTGTGACGACCTCGGTGTGCGTGTGTGTGTGTGTATGTGTGTGTGTGTGTGTGTTTGTGTGTGTATGTGTGTGTGTGTGTGCGTGTGTGTGTGTGTGTGTGTGTGCGTGTGTGTGTGTAC